AGGTCTTTCAGAAGTACAGTGTGTCCTGAAGTTGGGAAAGGAAGAGTACTGAAGAGCCTGGAAGTGTCCGAAAATTATAGAAACCCACAGTGGCCAATGGCAGAGACCCAGGGAGGAGAAGAGACCTGCAAGAGTAGCAGCAGTGTGAACCACAGGCATGCTGCACAGGATGAAAGCCCCTAAGAGGTGAGGTGGGTAGGGGGTAATTGTGTCACTAGGGTGACTTCCAGAGCAGTGGTGAAGACAGAGGCATACTGAAGTGTCTAAAGAAGTGACATGAGAAAAAGGAGGGGACCAGAAACTGATTAATCATACCACACACCCGAAAGACACAAGAGACATCAAGAAAGAGTCATTGTATTGTTTTTCAAGTAAAATGCAGTCTATTTTTTAAGGTTATTCACATTGACAAGGCTGCTACAAGAAAAGATTAAACAGACGTGGGAGGACCCGAGGACAGAATGTGTCTCTAGAACAAGCTTAGACCATGTGGGAATCAGCTCTGTGCGCAATATGAGTCAACGTTGAAGAGAGTATTAGACTTTAATAAAAGAATGTGAGGATGGACATGGAGTCTGTATGTGTGAGGATGGACACGGAGCTCTGCATGTGAGGATGGGCATGGAGTCTGTACATGAGGATGAACATGAGTCTGTATGTGAGGATGGACATGAGTCTGCATGTGAGGATGGACGTGAGTCTGCATGTGAGGATGGACAAGAGTCTGTATAGGAGAAAAGGCAGGAAGTCTGTATGTGAGGTGGGGCATGAGTCTGCTTGTAGCAAGAAGTAAGGAACTCAGCAAATCACATACACAGACAGAGATAATGGAGGCTGAAATCACTCACTAAAAGGGAAATAATGTAGAATGAAGAAACTTGATGAGATCTGGGTTTATCATTGAAAGGAAAAGAACTAGTGTTGACCAGGTCAAGGTAAGCTGACAAGCAACCATTGATGGAGGAGCATTTAAAAAACCTTCTGCAACCATATTTTATGAGGGAATATATTTTATTTTTTAGTTTATGAGTTAAAATTTCATTCAGTGGTAATTCAAATAGTAAAAATAAAAGGAATTATTTTTCCTTGTTTTATGAAATCTAGTCTTGAATTGAGGTTAAACAGACAATGGCATGAAAATGCTAAAGAAAATGTGTGTCTTGTATTTACATAAAATCATGACTTTATTACTGCAAGCAGAATGTTTACTTCAAAATATCTGCCTGTTAAGTACTACACTGCCTGTTTTACAGATGAAAAATAAATGAGTACCATACAGAAGAGCAAATAGCATCTTCATTCCATCACAGTGAAGTATCGAGAGTCAGTAGGCACTACCAAGTGTATTGTAACTGAAATAGATTGTTTTAGCCCATGCCATTAATTGGCTTGAATGCAAATTGAAGATATCAAGATTTTTATCTGTGCCTCTGATTGTTCAGAAGATGATTTTAGGCACATTATCAGTAAGTTCCATAACTTATAACCTTACCAGGCTCTGTGGGAAACATTTCGGGTATATGATCTAGATTTTAAAGTGATCCTTACTGAGAATTTGAATCTAACTCATCTTTGACAGTTACCATTTATGGCAAATAAAAATGTCTGGTTTTGTCCCATTTCTAAAAATCCACATGGATCTGTAAACATAAAGGTTAACTGTAGCTGCCAGCTCAAGTTGTCACCAAACTCTGAAGTACCTAGAGCAGCTCAGCAACTATTTTAGTTGGCAATCTTTGATTTCACAGCACCACAAGTTGGCTAAAATAGTAGCAAATCCATCGATACTTGAGAAGAACACAGGCAAGAAAGTCTTGCCACAATCACTTCCGCTTGAATTTAATAATAGTTCTGAAAGTATAAAATACCATAATAGAACCAAGAAATGTAAATCCATCACATAGCACATTCAACAGAAAACAAGCATATGTTCACACACATGTTTTACACACAAGGTCCCAGCCTTCAAAGTAATTCAGTAGAATTAAGAACATGGACCTGTGTCCACTGTCCAACATAATGTTTATGCCTCAAATTGCACTACAGTTCAGTGAATGTATTATTAATCACTAAACTGGGAAGGAATGAGAACGTTCCAAAATGTTCAGCTATTGATTTTTTTCTGCTCAAAGTACGTAAACATCGCATCTTCGCATCAGCAAACATCTGGGAGTAGGCAAGAACTGCAGCAATACGCAGACTTCCTAGTCTCACTATTTAATGTGAGAGAAGAACATTGGGCCCAGGGAAGGAACGCTCACAAAATTCAGGTTAAATAAACATGGGATTAAGTGGAGGTAGCTTAACTATAAATAACCCCGTGGAACTCCAGGGCTCAAGCACAATCGGACCTGGGCTGGAACTTTTAGGATCATGTTGAGTTTGCTCTATTATCACGTTCAAGAACATCTTCCATGACAAATGGGTAACTACATAAAATCGTACTTACAGGGGGGAAGTTATGGAAACACCTTAGCCCATATTATTCAAGATCTGCCATAACTAATAATCAGATTCACAAATTATTTGTTTTTAATGGTTTATTTTAGAATTGTTCCCACTGGAAACACAAAGCAGAAACAAACGAAATAAAACACAATGAATATAACCAAAAAATTACTTTGAAACTCATGGCCTTCCATCCCAAAAGAAGCAGGAACAGTAAGGACAGGCTTATAGCTATCAGTGATGCCAAAGCAAAGGAAGTCATTGTGAGAGCTCCTTGCTTTCTATCACTGCTCCTAGAAACTCATCTCAAAGAATGGAATCATCATCTGGACCATTTTTATTGCCCCCTCAGTCTCGAGGCTGTCTGCACAGCACTGCTGAAATGTACTTCAGTGTGCACCTGAAGTACATTCTTCCATTTGAGTATCTGTGTCAGGGTTATTTATAGCTGATGTCTTCAAACAGAGCATTTCCAGGTATGAGAAATGAAATCTCTACAGCGATCCCAGAGACCTTCGCAAATGGCCTTTGAAGAGACAATGGGAAACAAAAACTCTATAATGCAACATGTGCATTGTGATTCACTGAGAATCCAAAGCACACTCACCTTACACTCTAGTAATCATGTGTAAAGGACCCGGGTCGAGTTACAGATGTCATGTGAGCCCTGTGATTCCTTTTATGTATCTATCTGGCTACTCTATGATTACTGTCGCCACTTTCTTCTTTCTCTTTTCTCGTTAGGAATTCTCTGGAATTTAGGCACTCTCTTTGTTTCTTACTGAGATGCCTTTCTAGTTCCAAGCTTTTTTCCTAATCCATTATAAAAGCAGGCCATGCTTCCCCCTGCTGGGAAAAAATTAAATTACAAGGTGCATTAGAACAATTTCCTAAGGTCTCAAGAAGAAATCCAGTACTTGGGAAAGAAAACCTATGGAAAGCCAGGTACCTAGTGTTCTCGCAACTGCTTCAGTGAATACCTCCCTGTGCATCTCTCTCTGATAAGACCTTCACCTATATCTCTTAGTTTTGTAAGTTTTGAAAGTACAATTAATATGCATTAATAACTGATTAGTCAGTTATCTATCCCAAAGAGAGCTCCAGTTAGATAACTCAGGTCAGAGAAGACCATGAATTCGTGTTCTTTTCTCATTGTACACTGAATGTAAACACTCAAAAGAACAGACTGGAGTGAGCAATCGAAGAAGACATTCTTAGTCTGTCAATGCTTACTAAGTCATCCTTTTTCCATATTTCTATAATGACAATACAGTTGACCTTTAACAGTAGAGAATATAGTTGTTGACTTAATTTTTCATTTACTATAATTTGATTATTAGGTATGTGGGTGAACATGATTGCATTTCCCTCCCCAAGTACTCTACAACCAGCCCTTCCCTTGAAAACAGTTTAGATCTTTCGAATCTTTTACATTCTGATTATAAATTCCTTCCTGGCAGTCTTTCATGAAATACTTTGTTATTACATATTGTCATAATAAATAATGACACCCTAAAAATGTCAAATAAATCTAATGCCTCTGAATCACAGGAGGAGCAAAAAATTTCTACAATGCAAAACGAAGTCTCAAATCTATTTCAATGCTGAGAATCTGGACAAGGGGACGATGTCGCTGTTTCTTCCAGTGGGTAAGACCTCAAGCTACAAAGCTGCACTGTAGCCAGTTTGAAGATCAAGCAGTTCATTATTAATGACACATTCATCCCAAAATTCTGCAGCTGTGTTAAATAGGAATGTGCAGATTACTGACTGCGTAACTGGAGTGTCTTTAGTAGCTAGCATTGTTTCACATAAATGGAATAATTGGGGTTAGTATTTCTGACAGAGAAGTTATCATGTGTGCCTTTTTTATTTTCAAACGACCTTTCAAAGCAATGCAAAAGGCAAGACATAGATGCTCCTCTGGGAACCGAACCTCCGCTAACATCACAGGTACACAAAAGAAAACGCACACCTGGTAAGAAGAAAACAGTTGATCAATTATGGAGCGTTCCTAGGGACCAATATCTCGCAGAGCATCCAATCATCGCGTTTCAAATACATTTATAAGCACTTTAGTTTCTGCTTGCTACGCTCACGTAAATACACGACCATGTATACTTTAATGCTGATTAACCCTAAGACTTTCCAGAGGAAAGACTGATTAAAGAGGTACTAAAATCTCCTGGAAACGCAAAAGAATGATAGAATACAAAAATAAGGCTCATCTGTGACCAAGACGCTCTCAGAACACTCGATGGATGGCACTATCCCCCCTGAACTGATTTCCCTTGCTTCTGTGAAGTGAAAAAGGCGCCGGTGGACCGCCTGACACTTGCTGGTCTCCCTGTCCAGGACCCAAACAGGTCTCATCACCCTGTCATTACACTCAGGGCTTCCGTCTCCAGCAATTCAGCCCGCGAGGAGCCGGGCTGCCTGCTCTGGGCTCCCACATCCAGAAGCGGCTCCCGGGGACAGTTTCTGCCCAGCGGAGCGCCCACCCTCCCCAACTTCGCCGTGCCCGGGCTGGCGGGCGCCGGGGCCGGTCTTACCTTCCGCCAGAAGGCGCGACGCGTGCACAAAAGATGGATCCAGACTATCCTTCTCTGCCATCAGCTCAGGCAAGTATTTCTCTTCTCCCATAGCGCGGACTTCGGACCGTGCCCGGCCAGGTGCGAATCCCGGCCCGCTCGGACGCCGGCGGTCCCTTGGCTCCCGCGGGGACCGTCCTTCCGCCCGCCCTGTGAGCGCAGCTCTCGCGCCTGGGGCTGCGCAGCCCGCGCCGGTCCCTGCTTCTCCCGCGCCCCTTGCCCGGCTCCAAGCCGCGGCCTCAGCTGGAGAGGCAGCCCGCGCGGCCCGCCCCCGCCGGCCTCCCATTGGAAGCGGGGCCGTGGGGGCGGGACTGGCGCGGAGGCGGCGGGCCGTCATTGGGCGAGGCCGCACGTCGAGTCTCCTGAGTGGCAGGAGGCTGCTGTGCAGGGGAGGGGTGTGCGAAGTGCAAGCGCTCTCTCCTGGCCGCCTCAGCCGGCCGGATTCTCAGGCCTGGCTAGTGCCAAGGAGCCAGCGAGGACCGCCTGGCTTCCCGGATGCTGAGAGAGGCAGAATGTGTGCTCCCCGATGCACGGGTAGGTGGTGGACGTCGCTTGGGTCCCCGAGGCACAGGTGTCCCTGCCCTCGCGGGTCGCACTCTCTAGGGCATGGTTGGAAATCCAAGCCCTAAGGTGGGGTGTCTGGTGTTTCCCATGACCTACATACATCTCGGGGCAGGAGGATGCCCACTGAGGAACAAATGAAGAGGTCCTTAGGAGATTCAGTAGCACAGCAAAATGCTGCCAGTGTACATCATCGCGACACGGAATTAGTTGTAGGGATCCACCCATCCCCATTCCCGTGGATTGTTTACTCACCCTATAAACTTGGAGGGGAGAAGTATGAATGGAAGAATCTAGATGGTGCCTAACTCCAGTTGCTCTCATGGTCTCGTATTTTAGAGGTGAAGGTCTCTCTGGACTTCATGGGGAATGTTGCTGAACTACTTTATATCTGCCCCACCTCTATGACCATGAGCATTTAACCCTTAAGAATCACCTGCAAGGGAGAGGAGGGGGGGAAATGCATCCTTTCCTTACAGGAATAGATATACCTTGCCAACTTCAAATGGAATGCGTTTTTTTTTTTTTTTTTTATTTCACTTTACTGTTGTCTTTTCACAAACAATCCCTTTTCAATTCTCCTTCTAAAGTAATGGCCAGACCAACTTGCCCTGCACATAAATCTGAGGGAAGTATTCTAAGTTCTCTTAATCTGCCCAAAGCTTTCCTTATTTGTTATTTATTTTAGATAAAGTTGGGATATTATATTGATTTTGTGTGACTTTTTAAAATGTTAACGTGCCTCAGGCCCACGAGATAACTCCCTCCATCTCACAAAAACACTGAAAAAACATGGACCCAAAGATACTAGATTTTGCTTATATAGTTGGGAAAATAAGCCTCTTAGTTGTGCTAAATCTGAGGCTAAAATCCAAGTCTAAGCAATGCCTAAGCTTCGGATGGCAAGCACGGCTTACCCTAATCTCCTGTATGTAGATACTTAAGTTATGTGCATCCATCAAATTACTGTTTATAGGCACTGAAAGGGGTCTAGGAACAGAACTTGAAATTAGAGGTTCGTTTGTTGCCAGACAAGGCAGACACATTCCATTTCCTCTCATGGTGGAGGTAGAGATGCTTTCTAATGAGGCTGACAAAAGAAACCAGGAACACATGACAAATCAATCGTTAGAAATAATAGAAAACCAGCATGAATACTAATCTTTAGGGTAGTTTGTAAATGTAGTACATGATGGACATCATAAAATCACAATAAATAAGTTACATTGACCCTTAGAGTGAAAATGTCTTATTGTCCACTTCCAAACAGTATGAGCAGCAAAACACAATCCCCAAATGCCCTGTGCAGGTGCCCTCATCCACATTCAAACCCACACGTTCCCAGTAGGTGACTCCACATCACTGAGCATTGTCCCCTGACTCACATGAGGCCATTTTGTGGCCACCAAAATTGTGTATTAAATATTTTAAGAGCAAATTTAAGATTGAGGACATCTTATAAATACAAATGTAAATAAATTGATAACCTATAAATAAATTATTATTGAATAGAGTATTTGTGGTTATGCATAAATAAATTATAGCTACTTGTATGCTTCCATCTTCTGATGCTAGGAAGAATCAAATCATCCCCTAATTGATTTTCAACCTGAGTTCTAGTCCTGAAAGACTTTTTAAAATACGATTTTGCTTATTGTGCCATTATTTCAAAAGTGGTTTGTTATGAGAAATGCCTCAAGCCAGTTAGTATATTGACGATGCATAAGGCATACACTATATAGAATATGTGTGATATTGTTCTGTGGTAAATGTGCAAGCTGTCCCTTCACATATCCTGTGAGAAAGGCCAGAGTCAAAGACATTTAATCAAACTTATCATACTAGTAAAATCTATACATCTTATTAAATAAGATATAGTATTTTTATTGCTTTCACTGATTTTATCAACTTTTTGGATAACACACTAGCCTAGAACTGACTCACAATAGCAATTCTGCTTCCAAAGACTAGATCTCTTGCATCCTCATATCAAGCTTAGTGTCCCCCAAATGCCTGTAGCTTCATCTCTGAGGTGGACAGAGACAGGAGGATTGCACATGCCTAGCTGAGAAAGTACAAAGCATGGATTTTGGAAGACAGTCACTCAAAGGAAGAGGTGAACGTGATGAAGAGAGCACACTGATGGTTTCTTCAGGACTCTAAGAACCTGCAGTAGCAAAATTTCACATAGATGCATGCACATAGATTTATGGAGAGAGAGAGGGAGGGAGGGAAAGGGAGAGAGAGAAAGAGAATATAAGGGATTAACAAAATTGCCAACAAGTGGTAATGGAGGAGGACTACTACCCTCCATTCATGTGTGTAATATTTTATTTGTTTAGCCTTCTGAGAAATGGGCAGGCACATCACCTTGTATAATCATGAACCAAAATAATTGCTGTTGTGCTTTCATTTGCTGAAGAGTCTGGCTGATTTCTCCTTGGTGAAAAGCTTGTTTTGGTGTTCAGTTTCTTCTTTTCTCTAATAACTTGCACAATATAGTTTAGGGTTATAAAAGAAAAAATGGGGAAGGCTTGCAAGTACTAAACAGGTACACGCATTTGTTACTCAAGAATGATGTGGACATTCCTTTTCACCGCATACACTTTTTGTTTTGTTTGAGATAGAGTTTCTCTGTGTAGCCCTGACTGTTCTGAAACTCACTATGTAGACCAGGCTGGCATTGAACTCAGAGGCCTGCCTGCCTCTGCCTCCAGAGAGTGCTGGGATTAAAGCCATATGCCACCACTGCCCAGCTTAAAGTCTTTTTAAACAGAGGATGAGGAATGATAATGATAATATTGAATACCAATAGCAACGTTAATATATACTGCAAAAGGTCTCAGTATTCAAGTCCTTTGCTAGAAGAAGGTAAGGAAATTTGAGGCAAATATGACCAAAATATATCATATTAAAGTCTCAAAGAATTAATAAGATATTTATGAAAATAATATAATAATACTATTATAATAAAGAAGAAATGTCAATGATTTGTAAAGTGTTTAGAGTCAAATTTTGCTGTGTGCTAATATATCACAGCACAAGTTAATATTCACAATGTATATCCTAAATATATGTATGATGGTTTTGGAAAACTTTAAAGTAGGCATGTCATACCTTTAGAGAAACAAGCTTATAATTCAGCGACAGAAAGAAAAGAGCTGGGAGTTGTGGGATGGCCACAAGTTGTGATACTGCTGTTCTGAATGCTCACAATTTGATTAAAAAGTCCAAAGAAGAAGCTGTCCTAATTTTTAAGTGACCTTACAACCCAAGCAATACAAGCATTTCTGGTGTTGAAAACATTGGTTTTTGTGAAACTAACCCTCTACCCCCTTGACATGTTGTTGGTGGTACTAATAGCAGATTCCTTATGAGTAAGGAAAAGGGATCTGTCATTATCACTCCAAGGCAAAGTTATTGACTGTCTTCTTAATATTAAATTCAATAACTGTTGACTTGTTCCTCAAGTATTGATTGTTTCTTGAGATCAACATATTAAAGTAAGGGATTACAACACCACCAATATATAATATTTTCTATACACAAAAAATAAAGATTTGGTATAAAGTAAGGAGATAAAGGCTACAAGGCAATATAATTATAAAACAACAACATCAACAAAAGAGAAACACTTCAGGTAAATTAAAACTTTTTATAAGCAATATGTATCATGACTAATGCAAGAGAACAAAGATTGGATTAAGTTTAAATTTTAATCTAGAATGTTTTAAGGACAGTCCTGGAAGAACTGCCTAATCTTAAAATATTCTCTAGGAGAAAGCCATCCCTCTCATGGCTTTTGTTTTGTTTTGTTAGTTTTCTGAGACAGAGTTTCTCTGTGTAGCTTTGGAACTTGTCCTAGAACTCACTCTGTAGCCCAGGCTAGCCTCGAACTCACAGAGATGTGCTTGCCTCTGCTACCCAAGTGCTGGGATCAAAGGCATGTGCCACCACCGCCTGTCCCCACTCAAGGCTTTAAATCACTACAAGTAATCAGCTAATCATGTTATCTTACTCTTGACCTATGTGATAGGATACTGCTACACATGATACAATCATTGTGCTATTTCTTTGTATAGACTAAACATACAGTGGTATATAAAATATTTTTTTAAAATTAGGTACCAAATGTAGTACTAAAAAAATTCAGAGACAAAGAGTAGAGTGGTTGTCAGGGCTGGAGGTAGAAGTTAACAGGATAGTTTAATGTGTACAGAGTTAAAGTTTGCTGAGACTAACAAATTCTGAACATGGCTTGTGCAAATTCTGGAATACACTTAAAATAAATGCAGTGTACTTTCAAAGTGCTTAATACAGCAAATTTTTAATAAAACCTAACATGAGTGTCAGGCATTTAAGGCAACAATGAAATTTAAAAAAAGCATTCCATCCCTTGTCTGGTAGTACACTCAGCATCCCTAACATGAGTGGGAGAGCCATGAATTTGAGATCAGTCTTGGCTACATAGAAATGTTGTGTCAAGAAACAGTATTCAAAATAAAAAAAAATCACCCATTCTAAATAAAAGAGAAAGGAAGGAATAGTTAAATATGGGGATTCAGAGCAATGTCATAGTTTGGGTTCTGGGAGACAGGAACTTATGAACACCCAACCAGTTTAAGGCTGATGATTACAGTGAAAACTATCTCTATGTGCAACAAATAACTCATTACTGGATCAGATTTT